ACATCATTAGGTTCTTCTATAGACTTTTACTCTTTTGTTACTCTGGTGTAGCAACACCTCACTCTTTTTTCATCCATCTCTCTACCATCTCACTTTACAATGCCTGAAGTAATGCTCTCGATATCACAAATTATGTTTTTGTCATCTCTTTAACCAAGTGATATTGAAGTGCATCAACCTGAGTAAGTACGTATCAATAACTCTTTACTAATTCTTATACCATCAACATAATCTAATAATACCACCGAGTCTGAACATCACATGATAATATGCTCCAAAAATGATATTTTCAAATTGTGCCAAATCCTTGATCTCCACGATATTATAATCTCTCTATCCAACCCCTCCTAAACCCAAAAGCATCACCCAAACATGAAAATATTCACACTAGCACAAAGCTATATGTGAGGAACATGATGCCTACTCCATAATGGCACATGGACCCTTATACTATCCCATCTCACATAAAATATCTTCATATGTAAGTAGATTTTTTGAATTAAATAAAATTCAAATGGATCTATTGCTAAATACAAAGCACATCTAGTGGTTAAAGAATTTCACCAACGACTAGGTATTAATTTCATAGAGACCTTCAATCCAACTATTAAACTAATAATAATTTGATTTATCCTCGGTTTGACTATCACTTAAGGCTAGCATGCATATCAACTAAATATTAAAAATATTTTCTTATTGGAGATATTAACTGAAGATATTTTTATGTAACAAAACCTTGACTCGCTAAGCTCCAAGAGCCAAGTATACCAAACTAGGCTCGTTTTTTATATCAGTCGACTTTATTAACTCCAAGTCTAATAACTCTTTACTCCTACGATAACAAAAGAGATATACTATATATTTACTAGTTTATATGGATGATATTATCATCATAGTTAATAATTTTATGAAGATTAAATAATTTCTTAAATAATTGACAGATCGATTCTTTATTAAAGACTTAAGAATCTTAAGCTATCATTTGGGAGTGAAAATAATATTCATATTTTCTAAAAATTTTATTTTTAAAAAAATATATTTGAGATATATTATTAAAGATAAACATGTAGAATGTTGAAGAAGTTACCACCCCACTCTTCTTCGCTGAGACTCAAATTATATGTTAGTAGTCCTACTATATATCTCATATGATATAAACAAGTATTTAGTTTCTTTTATCTCTGACACGTTTAGATATTTCATGTATAGTCAACAAATTATCATAATTCGTGTATTAACCATTCACTACACATTGGTCTGCATTAAAATGTATCCCGCGATATTTTTTAAAGGACTCTCAATCATGGATTTCTTCTTCGTAAACACTCATCCTATTATCTTCATGCCTTTATCAATACTGATTAAGCTAGTAATACTAATGATAGAACATATATATCAGGTTACATTATCTTCCTTGGAGTAAACTTACTAAAGTTGAATACGGAGTCATCACCACCATCGTTGCAATTGTTAATCGGGTCATTAGTCTACTATACGAACTTGACATCACCTCCCAATCTACTCCAATAATATATTATAATAATGTTGGTGACACCTAGCTATGCTTCAACTGAGCGTTCTACTTTTGCATGAAATATATTATCATTGACTTTTACTTAGAAATAAGTCGTTAGACGTCAACTTTTACTTAGAGTATTTTAATTACAATGTTATAAGATTAGCATCCACGATGGAAACTTAATCTTATAGTAGCATAATAGACGATAAATGATAATTTTATATTCATTATATATTCTAGTCCTTAATCAATATATAATTTTAGGATCAATCACCATATATATTAAATTATCAAGCTTTCACAATAAATTTTCTGTATGCAATACCTATCATGTGTTTGGATGCCTTACAATCCGACTTTTAAGAAGGATCTGATGTATTTGGACGTCTTGCCATCCCACTAATAAGTCTTTTAAGGATTAACGACAGAAGAATATACCTATCATTAAGTATGAGTCTGGTGGTTGATGATGAGCAGGAGATCCGAGTCAAAGCCGATCATCAATGTGCCTTGGATGACAAAAATGGGAAATAAAACCGTGTGGTTTATCTTCTGCAAAGGTATCATCTACGATCTCAAGATACAAAAAAAAAAAAAGGCATGCAACCATGAAAAACAAAATCTATCATGAACATTAGCATTAGAACAACTGAACATTAGATTTGGTCAAAGCTACCAAAGCCTATGGTGTAGGCGCTGCCGGGCCCATGCCAATCCTAGTCAACATGACCCTTCGAATGCTTCTCGATATGAGATTATTGTCACAGTTCATCTTTCTTAATCTTAGAGATATGAATATCTTTATCACTATACCCTATCATATATCTTAAATAGTTATTGCATGTTGAAATGTAAAGCTTCATTTTTTTTTTCTTTCGAACAAAATTAAAAGCATAGATTTTCCTTTAGACAATTCTGTCCTCGTAAAGATGTATGTGAAAATTTTACATCTTAGAACTAAATAAATGCTAATATACGAATACTAAGAACGGATACTATACATAACAACAAAAGTACCAAATATCCCAATCGTTAATACAAAACATTCTCAGAATAAATAGACTTTCATGAAAAAGAAAAGTATGATAAAGATATTATTAGGATTTGTAAATATTTTTAGAAGTTTTAATTGTATTCAAATTAGTTAGTAAAGTTTTGATTAATTATTTTTAAGAGTCCTAATCGCATCCAAATTAGTCGATAAAATTATAATTAAATTAAAATTCCTTAGCGAATCATGACTTGTTCTTATAAATTTATTCTGAGGTTCAAGGATTTAATACGAGAGAGAATCAAGACACTTTGGTTACTTTTCATCAATAATCTTTAAAGTTTTTAGAAAAACTTTAAGGAGAAATTCTTTAAAGTTATATGACAGGAGTACTAAATAGTCATGAGAATAAGAATTTAGTTTTTTTTATGAATATGGATATAATTTATCAAACTATGTTATTGATTTTTTAATATACTTATTTTAATTATTTATCTCTAAAATTTTGTTTTAGTTATCGAAATTTTTCTCTCGATGTCCCTCTCCCTCCGCAACAGTCATCGATGTAATAAGACATTAAAACTCTTGAATGCCTAAGGATTCTCATGCAGTGTAGGAATTATCAGACACATGTCCATGAATTGCTTGCTGCCATACAAGTATGAACGTAGTTATGCTGATTCCAGAGGTTTCACTGCAAAATTCAAAGTGATCAGATAAACGAGTCACTAACATTAAGCTATACGTATTCAAATATTAATGTGTGGATGCTAAGGCATGGATTGATTCGTGGCGCAGACACAGTCGCTCGCAAAAAATGTTTGTTAGTACCTTGGCGTCTCGGCAACATCGTACGTATAAGCTGTAATCGCGTGTTACGGTGCAGTGAACAAAAAAGCTGGTCTAATAATTGCCAACACGGAGTACTTGTGGTGTTTATGGGGGCATTACGACGGTGGATTGATCGAGAAAGAACTCTGGCCACCACGTACGTACCTTCTTCAAACATTAATCGCAGTGACCACCTCCATGTAAATCAATATTCCGACTGTATCGCAAGTCACTCCTCCATCATCCAACATTCGGATCTTGATGTGGCCCTGTGGCCAATGAGGTGCTTCTTCTTGCTCGTTGTGGGATGGACACAGGCGTTGACGCTGAAGGAGATGGCCGAGTGTCCGTGAGCAAAACCGCACGAGGGCTGACGGTGTTCGGTACACCAACGTGCCCGCACCCATCCTCTCTCCAACTGTCAATCCAACTTGCCTTGCACAACAAGCATCTCAAGCTTATTCTTCCATCCTTGATTTGGTCCAACCTGCCTAATGTGTTTTCTCATCAAATTTGCTATACATATATACTGATTTTTGATTTATTGCTCCGTATTCAAGTTGAGCACATATAGTACAGGAATTCTGAAAACTCGCTCTCGTAATTAATTAATATTTATTATTGTCATTTGACGATGACACAGTTTTATATTTAAAAAAAAAAGTCATGGTAAGAGTTTTCGAAAGTTCAAAATCATCATCATTCGAGACCTATTAATAATCTCCTTTTCTCGGTGGGTCTTGACATGCAATTTAATTTTATTTAACATTGGGATAAGATATTTTTCATTTTGAGGTCAAATTAACCAACGTTGGCGTTAAGTCGCTGTAGAACTAACAGGTGTATAGTGATATAGGAAACTTGAACGTCACGACATCGTTGACTTGATACCCAATCGAATGTCATGTCAACTGGTTGAGAGAACCACATTATTGGCACAACCGATAATAATTACAATGCTTACGTGTTGGATGACTCGAGTCGAGTTAGGCTCGATAACTTCATGTGAAATAATTTTCTACTAAATAGAAATTTATATGGTTATCATAACGTGTATGAAAACATCTCGACTTGGTTGACTCAGCAAACAGCTCTCTCAAGGTCTGTTAGACGTCCAATCAAATCCACGTAGGTGAAGTGTATCGACACATCAGAAAATCAAATTATATTTTAATAATATATAATTTTAATGTATATATATATATAATATAATAGTTTAAAACTTTAGGGTAAAACGTGTAAAGTCACGTTATTGGTGGGAAACCCTCGAAGAGAGAACAACGGCGTAGAGGGATGGGGAGATCCTATGTGGGACCCAGCTGGGTAGATTCCAGTCCACATGAAACTGCTGCCTTTCCTTTGAGGCCGACGTGATGGGATCCGCCGACCGCCTCACCGTATGCGAACACCCGGACGACACATCAACCCATGATCACTGGGTAACCAATTCAATGTGAAGGACCGCTCGCGAGGCCACGCGGCGCACTCCCTAGTCACACAAAGACAGGAGGCAACAACCCGCCGTGACGGCCGTTCGGACGGAGGGCTGCGACGCCCACGGAAACGAAACGGATTTCCAGAAGCAGCTACGGGCCCTACCTGGTTTCCGCAGGCATTTGCTAATGTTTCGGGGTTAATTTGGGAATCCTTCTGTCTCCACGACGCCGTGCTTCTGCCATTAGTGCCACTCCTCGGGTTTGGTGGTTTGACCACAGCAACTCAGCTGGGAGTTAGCGGGGGGAGGCCAACGCCACCGTTATAATCACCGCCTCGCTCTCTCGTTCGTCTCGGCCACCCACCACACCCTCGCTGCTCTCTTCTTGTTTATTTCTCCGACTCTCTCCTTACCGAACCTCCACCCCACCCCACCCCCAAGCGAAGGAGAGAGAGAGAGAGAGAGAGAGAGACAAAGATCGAGGCCGCCGATTCGATTCCATCGACCGATCCGTCGTCATGCAGTCGGAATCCGCGAAGCCCTCTCCGCTCGATCTCCTGTCGGCCATCCTCGCCGGCTCCCTCGGCGGCGATGGGCTCCCCTCGGGAGCCGGATCCTTGGCGGCGATCGCCGAGAACCGGCAGCTCCTCGCGATCGTCACCACATCGGTCGCGGTGCTCGTCGGGTGCGCGTTGATATTCTTCTTCCGGCGATCGAGCGGAAAGAAGCCAGCCGAGCCGCCGAAGCCTCTGGTGGTGAGGGTACTGCCGGAGTTGGAGGTTGACGACGGGAAGAAGAAGGTCACTGTCTTCTTCGGCACGCAGACTGGGACGGCCGAGGGGTTCGCTAAGGTTAGGGTTTGGTCTCGACGGGTTTGATTATAAGTTTCCAGTTAGCGTCTTTAGCCTAATTTTCTTTTCTTTATCTCGGTGTCAGGCTTTGACGGACGAGGCTAAGGCGCGATACCAGAATGCGATATTTAAAGTTGTTGATCTCGTAAGATCATCTTCCTTTTATGAGATCATTTGAGAATTCTTATGGTTGATCTTTGACAATTTGATCTTGACTATCTGTTCTTTCCCAAAATCAAAGGACGAATATGCTGCTGACGATGACGAGTACGAGGAGAAGATGAAAAAGGAGACCTTAGCTGTGTTCTTCTTGGCCACGTAAGTTGAGACCATCGAGTCATTAACCCATAGGATATCCGATTCCTTTTAATTTTAGCATGATCTTTTATATCTCCGCATGGGTACAGGTACGGAGATGGGGAGCCTACTGATAATGCTGCACGGTTCTACAAATGGTTTACAGAGGTCGGGAAACATGCTGATTTCATTGAAAATTTTCACCAGTAACTGTATGTTTATGATATGTTTGTTATTTATCGATTGATTACAGGGGAAAGAGAGAGGGAATTGGTTAGACAATCTTCAGTTTGCTGTGTTTGGTTTAGGCAACCGGCAATATGAGCATTTCAATAAGGTTATCCTTTTTTTTTGTGATTTATCATTACATATCACCTATTTCTGTGAAATTCCTGCTGACATATGATTGCAATATATTCACGGAACATTAAAAGGTTGCTAAGGTGGTTGATGAAATGCTCGCTGAACAAGGTACACTCTCTTGACTAGTTAAGTCGCTACCCGCTTAAGTCATGTTTGTTTCCTTAGTTGACTTCATGTTGTATACGGTTGATAATGTTTTCTGTTAATGACTAGCTTAATTGGTCCACTAATGTGTATATCCGATTCTTTAGGAAAAGTTCAACTTGCATTTAGAGACTAGTTGTTACTTAAAGGATATAAAGTTTGCTTTTGATAATCATAGACTATGAATATACACTATTCGGATCATAAAAGAAAATGAGAAATTTCCAAGCTTACAATTGTTCTTCTTTTTAATTTTAAGTTTCATAATAAATGAAAGATTATATACATGCTAGTTTGTTGTATACTAGTTGTTACAGCTGCTAATTGAAATACTAACATAGTTGTAAGTATTGTAATAGAAGTTATACTTGAATCGGAATTGATATAGGTTGCAGCTGTTATCACTTATTAGTAATTTCAATAAATTATGATGGTTATTTGATCAAGTGAAGTGGTGATTTATAAAAGCAATGATGCTTTCTCTGTTTATCGTGAATGAAACTAGCTTCCCGTTTTCATTTTAATGTGTGGTAATTACTTGAGATGTGGAACTCAAAGCCGATCACTTGGGCTTTTTACCCTCCCTTTGTCCTATGATAGGTGGGAAGCGTGTTGTTCCATTGGGTCTGGGTGATGATGATCAGTGTATCGAGGATGACTTCACTGCATGGTGTGAAATATTAGCAATACTATATAGACCCTTTATCTCTCTTTTCTGATGTACTTGTTAATTTCATTATTCACTCTAGTGACGGAGAAAATATTATATTTCCAGGAGGGAGATTCTCTGGCCAGAACTGGATCAGTTGCTTCGGGATGAAAATGATGTTTCAGGTGCATCTACCCCATACGCAGCTGCTGTTCCAGAATACCGGGTTGTCTTTTTCAACCCTGAAGAAACTTCTTCCCTGGACAAGAGTTGGAATCTTGCAAACGGCCATGCTATTCATGATATACATCACCCATGCAGGTAGATGCTTTTATTCAGAAGTTCCTTGTAGCAAATTTATGACCAAGTCACGAAAAGCATAATTAACACAAGAAGTGGACCCTTAAGGGCTAATGTGGCTGTGCGGCGGGAGCTTCATACTCCAGCTTCAGATCGGTCCTGTATCCATTTGGAGTTTGATATTGCTGGCATTGGTCTTACGTAAGTTCAACTTTATGTAGTATGTTATCATGAAACTTGGCCTCTTATTAATTTCTATATGGTTTTATGCATTTTTTTTTAATAGCTGAGTATCTTGGGTATGCTATTTTACATGCCAAGACAATAACCAACCTCTATCACTGAATTTTTTTTTTCATACTTGCAGCTTGTCTGCATAAATGCAAATGTTACCTGCTATTTGTCTGGATCATCCATTGATGGATGTATTCCTGTAATCCATATAGTATTTTCCTAGAGAAAAAGATGGAAAGAAAAGTTCTTTTGATTATTTTGACTATTCCTTTTTCTGTTTTTTCTTCTTTTTTTTGCTTGATGGTTCCAATTCCAACTACTGCTTCTAGAATTTATTATTTCACTGAATGAAATTCCATGTCCTTTGCTAGAGCATTTTGATATTTTTTGTTTCATAACTTCACTGAAGATTGTGAATCATCTCCCATTGTCCTCAGATACTGTTCAGGTGAAAAAAGTATGAGAAAGAATAATCCACAAAAGAGCTGTTTTCTGCTGAAACTAATTGGTAACTTATGTATCTGGAAACGTCCGTCATTCTAGGTTCAACCTCCTGGATCTGGCAAAAGGCACTAGCAAAGACTTATTTTGCTACTTAGTGGTTGTGTATCTTCCATGTCAATGCAATTATAATAAAAAGGGTTCCTCCTATTTCTCACAATAGAGGAACATTTTTATGTGTCAGTTAAACAATCTTTATGTTCACTTACAACTGAATGCAATAATCTTTGTGAAGTTAGCATCAGTATACCTACATGCTTAGTTACCTTTTTCCTCTACATTAAGTAAATATCATATGAAACCTATTAGGTTTATCAAACCTATTTGTGTTTGTGAACCTATGTTTTCTGTTGGTTATCAATCAGGCACAAATCATCAAATATCAAACTTCATTATCATAATTACAAGCATATGTTTATCTTTTCAATTTGTTTCTATAATGTTTAAAACTGTCAATTCATATAATTTTCCTATTTATCATAATAATGAATTTTAAAATGTTCCTTTCTCTACTGATAATATATTATTGTTTTTGTTTTGTCTCTAGGCTTCTGTTTGAGCAAGTTGCTCTACTATTTTAAGGTTGACCAATTGCTAGTTTATGGTTAAATAAAATTTTCCAGCTGATCATATCAGGAACTCTCTTTTGTCAGGTATGAAACGGGAGATCATGTTGGTGTATTCACAGAGAATTGTGTTGAGACTGTAGAGGAGGCTGAAAGACTGTTAGGTTATTCGCCAGATACGTATTTCTCAATCCACACTGACAAGGAGGATGGCACACCACTTGGAGGCTCTTTGTCGCCTCCTTTCCCGTCTCCATGCACCTTAAGAAATGCACTTACTCTATATGCTGATCTTCTAAATTCACCCAAAAAGGTGACTTTTCCTTTCCTTGAACAAGTTATGTTGGCTTGATCTTTGTTCTTCTTTAAATTTTTTTTCTACATAATCTGCAGAGTGCATTAGTTGCCTTAGCTGCACATGCTTCAGATCCCATTGAAGCTGAGCGACTTAGATTTTTGGCTTCTCCTGCTGGAAAGGTTTGACTTTTCTGAGAATCTCTACAAGTCTTTTATTAGGGGGAAGGAATTTTTACTCAATTATTCTGGTACAGGATGAATATTCTCAATGGATCGTTGCTTGTCAGAGAAGTCTTCTAGAAGTTATGGCTGAATTCCCTTCTGCAAAACCTCCATTGGGAGTCTTCTTTGCTGCAATCTCCCCCCGCTTGCAGCCTAGATATTATTCAATATCATCTTCTCCGAGGTAATAATTGATTTCTGACCTTTTTCTTTGTTAATTCAATTGATACAACAGACTTACAGTCAATTATTTGTTTCTTTCAGGATGGCACCAACCAGAATCCATGTGACATGTGCGCTAGTGTATGAGAAGTTACCAACTGGGAGGATTCATAAAGGAGTCTGTTCAACTTGGATGAAGGTAATTTCCTACATACAATTTTGTTTGGATGGTTGAACTGGAGTGCTGGCAGACTTTGTAGTTCTCTTTCTTCTAATGTCATTTTGATTTCTTCTGATCAGTGCATGTAGTATATTTCTTTTAAGAATGCAAACTAAGCCTTCAATCACAGCTTAGGTTGTTATTTTGTGTTTGCTTCTTGGTTTGATTAACTTTGTCTTGGGCATCTTGTTATCAAAGAGAATGTCAAAGTCTTATATTTGTTCTCAAGTAAATGATTCTCCAGCTGGTACACTCAACATAGAGATTAGGAGATGGGTTCATTTGTTCACTTTTAACTGCTAGGATAAGGATTATGCACTGGATTAACCATATTATATATCATAAAGTATAGCATCAATACTGATGATTGTCATTAGATGCTATCATGTGCAACATTAGCAGAAAAGTGAGACCCAACCATATTGGTTTGAACATCTATTTAGAGAAGAAGAGAGTTCTTAAAGCTTTATGTTAGTGTCTATGTATGTCACCTATAAGAACTTACTAAAAAAATGTCCAAATTGGATTCATCGTGCAATGCATCTAGGACCTATAATGAAAATCATGAAGCTGAATGCTAACTTGCTTCTGTTTTTCCTGTGTACTTGTGATTTTGTCTTGTTTTCTTAAGGCCTTTAACCAATGTATTATAAAACATTAGCAGCTCCTGCTACTATTTTTTTCTTTATTTTTTTTCATGTTATGACACTTTGGAACTCCTTATTTTACAGAATTCTATTCCATTGGTAGAGAGCCAAGAATGCAGCTGGGCTCCTATATTTGTGAGACAGTCGAACTTTAAACTGCCTGCAGATCCTTCTCTACCTATTATTATGATTGGTCCAGGCACAGGGTTGGCACCCTTCAGGGGCTTCTTGCAGGTTTCTACCTAAGTGTCAAATTTCTGCTAGTACATCTGTCACTTGAATAGTGGAAAACTTGTTTTAATGACTTGAATACTTCTGATTTTAGGAAAGGTTGGCATTGAAAGAAGCTGGTGTGGAACTTGGTCATGCTATTCTCTTCTTTGGATGCAGGAACCGCAAAATGGTGCTGATAACATATATTTTATTCAATAAAGTTTCGTACGGCCAAAATATTTCATTTTCTCACTTTATCATCTGATGATACTGTTAATTTTGCAGGACTTCATCTATGAGGATGAGTTGAATAATTTCGTTGAAACAGGTGCACTTTCTGAATTGATTGTTGCCTTCTCTCGTGAAGGCCCAACCAAGGAATATGTGCAGCATAAAATGACTGAAAAAGTTAGATAGATTTCTGCCCCCCTTTTTTCATGTCGTTTTGGAGTCTATTCATCCATTTAATTGTAGTATTAACTTTTGTTTATTTGCCCTAAACGTGAGACAATATTTGCAGGCATCTGATGTTTGGAATATCATCTCCCAAGGTGGTTATGTGTATGTGTGTGGTGATGCTAAGGGTATGGCTAGAGATGTTCACAGAGTTCTTCATACTATCGTCCAGGAGCAGGTACTGCTTTGACAACTTTGCTTGAAGCATTGCATTGTTTTATGAGTTTTGCTGTTGGATGCCATTAACTTGATTCAAATGTTGGCATGGCAAAAGCCAGATTACATTTGGTTGTTCAGGATACCTGCCAGTAAAAGAATCATTCTCTGACCTCAACCTGAATTTAGATTTCAGATATGATAAGTACCTGAAAGCTATTTATTCTAAGTCATCAACCTGGAGCTAAGCTTGTACTCTTGAGCATGGTATGCAGTACCGAATGGTACCGCCCGATATGGGCGGTACGTATCGGTCCGACGGCATATCGGTACGCGGACCGCCCAGTACTGGATGGAAAGTGCTACAGTGCTACAGTATTACGCTGTAGTAGTGCTACAGTAAAAAAAGAAAATATATAAAATTGTTCGGTATACCTTGGTGTACCGCTCGGTACGTCGGTACCGTACTGTATCGAGCCAACATCGAAATACCGGTATAGTACAGTATTGCCTACCTTGCTCTTGAGTACTGCCCAACTTCAGGATAAGTACAACTGCTCTTTTCCATCTTTTGAATTTATCTTCTTGTGCCAAGAAAACATTGGATTTTGGGGGATAGAGTAATTTATGGCTCATGTCAACAAGGTAGCTGCACGAAAATGGATCAACATTACTCTGATTTTTCTTGGTGGTTTCATGGCCGTGCAGCATCATTCTTGGTAGTTTTGGTTTTTTCCTCGGAAAAAAAAAAAGCTCTCCATTAAATTACTTTGGTAGTTTTGTTTTGTTTTTCTTGAAAAAAAAACTCTCCATTAAAGTACTACTGGCTGATTGAAAAGCTTAAATGACAATGCTCGGTTTTCAATCTGCCAACAAAAATGCACCATCTCATGTGGGGGATTCACTTTTTGATGTTTTAATGCTATTTTTCCTTATGCAATGAGACCATCCATCCTTGATTAATGTTCTTTGGTTTCTTATTTTGAAAATGCTTCTCACTCCGCTGCAGGGATCTCTTGATAGTTCCAAGACGGAGAGTTTTGTGAAGAGCCTTCAAATGGAAGGGAGATATCTGAGGGATGTGTGGTAAAGTATACCTTGCATTTTTCCTCTTTAAGTGCATCCCTTCCGCAGCACTCAATCTAGAAACTTGTACGGGAATTCGGTGGACCAGCAAGTCAAGGTTTCTTAGTCTCCACAAACTGGGTCGATGTTTAGATTATGTTATTCTTTTAAACCTTCTAACTAGAGCGTCTGTTCGTGTATTACATGTATTCATATTATGATTAGGCTGATTCGGGGGGAGGGGGAATAAGTAGTCAATATTTAGTAGAGAATGGAGGAAACAAAAGACTTTCTTAAGTTATACGGGTCATGTACAATCAGACGGACAGGCCTTCCTGTGTGAGCAAAATGCAAACCATGATGTTATGCCTCACCGGGCATGACTGTGGAACTTAGCTACTGGAATTGGGCCCATGAAGACAGGGAGATGCTATGACCTGTTTCGTGATCCCAAAACGCTTATTTACTGTTATATTGATATTGTTATATCCATATATCAGATTCTTGGATGCCTTGCGTTTCGCTGGTAATACTGAGGTTATTGTTTGGCTGGCTCGCTACATGCTGTAGGCTCAAAGATCTCAGTGATGAGTTTAGGTTTGAAACTGGCGGATCTGATCTTTAATCAATCAGATGGGTGGATTCAACATCCAAAGCAGACTGGGTTTGACATTATTTTGAGGTGCAATTTTGACTTGAGTTCTAACCAATTCAAAAGAACACTTTCGTTATCAAATTACTCTTAAAAGAACATGGTTTAAAAAACGATCTCCTAACTATTTGAGCCATATGGTATCTTCAATTTTACGAAAAATGTTGAATCTTGGATTTTTATGTTGAAATCAATTGGTAAATTGTTTGACTTAATCTATGTGTTGAGATAAGTGTATAAGATTAACTATGATAGTAGTAAGGCGTAAAGCAGATGATGGGCTGGAGTCGAAGATTTAGATGATGTACCGGGAGCTCGTCGAGAGCTCGTTTAAAGATCATCGAGAGTTCGTCGGAAGATTGTCGAGAGTTCGTCCGAAGTTCGCCGAAAGACTCGTTGAGAAGTTCGTCGAAGGATCGCCGAGAGAAAAATTGACATACCAGATTAATTGCTTGCCTTAATCGTAGTTAGTACAGTAGTTAAGTTAGGATTAGGAGGTAATTTCACTAACTCAGATAGGGACCAACTGGGCCCTTAACAGGGCTGAATTGGGCTAGTTGAACAGTCCATTCAACACCTGAAGTCACGGTCGGTGGCATCACCCAGGACTCGATCTCCCAGGTGCTTTGGGCGGTGGTACCGTTGGCAGTTAATGCTACCAGCGATGGTACCATTAGCGGTTAATGTTACCAACGATGGTACCATCCCTATCAAGTAGTGGTACAGCCCAGTGTCAGGTGTCAAGCAATGGTATCGCCCAATAATGGCGATGGTACCGCCAGTACCCCGAAATCTGGGGATATAACACTTTTTGACTTCAATTTTGAAATCATTGGGGCCTATAAATACCCCACCCTTTTCTGCATGAAAGAGCATGAAAGTATTAGCATAATCTTGAATTTTTGGAGTGTTAAAGTGTTGTAAAAGTACTAAAGTCCTCCTTCTTCCTTTCTAAGTGTTGAGATCATTCAAGAAATGTGTAAAACTTGTAAGAGTTATCTCCTAAACCCGTGAAAAGGAGAAAGCACCGTAAAAAGTGGTTGGTCTTCGCCTATTGAAGGAAGGCTATTAGTGGACGTCGGTGACCTCGACGGAGGAGGAATTCGAAAGTGGATGTAGGTCACAATGACCGAACGACTCTAAATTCTGGTTTGCATTTCGTCTTAAGCAATTTACCTTTATTGCAAGTTACTTTATTTTCTTACTACTTTCTCTATGCTCTCATAAGCTTTCAAGTTAAAATCTTTACGAAATGATTTTCGTCAGAATCAGGTTTAATCGAAACGAAGACTTTTGAAATCCGCTGCACTAATTCACCCCCCCTCTTAGTGCTGCTCTTGATCCTAATAATTGGTATCAGAGCAAGGTCACTCTTATTTGGTTTAAAACCCAAGAGAGACGGCATTGGTCGACAACCAAGAGAGTCATTCAATTACACGTCCACCCTTGTTCAATAGGACGGATTACATTTATTGGAAGACTAGAATAAGGATTTTTCTAATTTATATGGATTTCGAATTATGGAACATTGTAGAAAATGGCTTTCAAAAATCTTCTTTTCCAATGAATGATTGGAATGAGTTGGAGAAGAAGACTTTCGCTTTAAATGTTAAGGCTATGAATGCCTTGTTCTGTGCTTTGGATAAAACCGAGTTCAATCGAGTGTCGATTTGTGAAATGACTTTTGATATTTGGCACACATTCGAAGTTACTCACGAAGGCACTAGTAGAGTAAAGGAGTCAAAAATTAATCTTTTATTAGATACTTATGAGTTGTTTCGAATGAAACCGAGTGAGACCATTGGAGACATGTACACCCGATTTACGGATGTCGTCAATGGTCTAAAAGGACTTGGTAAAAGTTTCTCGGATTTTGAACTTGTTAATAAAATCTTAAGATCCCTTCCAAAGAGTTGGGATCCTAAAATAACGGCTATTCAAGAGGCTAAGAATTTAAATAATTTTTCTCTCGAAGAACTAATCGGGTCATTAATGACCTATGAGATGACTTATAATGCTCATGAAGAGCTTGAGAATAACCTTCCAAAGAACAGGAATGATATGACACTAAGAACTCAAGAAGACCACTTGAAAGAAAATTCAAGTGATGAGGACCATAATGATGACTTGGCACTCTTGACAAAAAAAGTTTAAAAAATTTATAAAAAGAAATAAATTTAGAAATAATACTAAAAATAAATTTGAATCCAAGAAAGAACAAGTCATATGTTACGAATGCAAGAAGTTGAGACATTTCAAAAGCGAATGTCCCCATGCTAAGAAGAAACAACCAAAGAAGAAGAATGCTCTTAAAGCAACGTGGGATGACTCAATTGCATCCGAAGAAGAGGAGCAAATCAACACTGAACAAGTTGCTCACTATGCACTAATGGCTATTGGAGATGAGGTAAGCAGTTTATTATATGCAAATTTATCTTTTGATGAATTACTAAGTGTTTTTCATGATTTATTCGATGAATGTAAATTAGTTAGTAAAAAATACAAATTGTTAAAAAAATAAGCATGCTTCTCTTGTTAGTGACTTTGATAGACTAAAAATTGAGCATGATGATAGTTTAACTCCTTACACAAAATACAATCAATTAGAAATGCTTAGAAAGGAAAACTTCCTACTCAAAGAAACCTCATAAAAGTTTGAGGTTGGTAGCAAGTCCTTGAACATGATCCTCGCTAATAAGAGTCATGTTCATAGAAGAGGTGGAATTAGATTTGTGAGTAGCTCTCACTAAAATCCAACCACCTTTGTTAAAGGCCCTACCTTACATGTTTCACCCTGAAACAAATACAACTTTTGTTACAAATTTGGACATGTTGCGTATAAATGTTCATTTAAGAGATATAGTCCACATAAATTGATTTGGGTTCCGAAAGAAACCTCAAATGACCCAATACAATATGATAAATTATGTAGATCAATTTTTGAGGCACCCAAGGTCAAATAGGTACCCAAAAATCATCCTTTTTTGTAGAAATGTTTATCGTCACAAGCTAGGAGCAAGAGATGGTACCTTGATAGTGGATGCTCAAGGCATATAACCGGAGATCCATCTCAATTCTCTAAGCTCACTAGCTTAGACGAAAGACATGTCATCTTCGAAGACAAAATCAAAATAGGTTCAAACTCGTTCTTCTCTAAAGAATTTTTGTGCAAATGCCGTATTGACGAGGCCTTAAAAGATGATTCATGGGTTATCGCAATGCAAGAAGAATTGAACTAATTTGAGAGAAATGAGGTGTGGAAGCTTGTTTCGAGGCCAAATGACCATGTAGTTATTGATACTAAATAGGTCTTTAGAAACAAGCAAGATGAATTTGGTATTGTGGTTAAAAACAAGGCTATATTAGTAGCCAAGGGTTTCAACCAAGAAGAATGTATCGATTATGAAGAAACCTTCGCTTCTATAGCACGGTTAGAAGCCATAAGGGTGCTCCTTGCCTATGGTAGTAGTAATAATTTTAAGCTATTTCAAATGGATGTTAGAAGTATATGTTGAACAACTACCAGGATTTGAGAATGATAATTTTCCTAATCATGTGTTTAAATTGACTAAAGCTCTCTATGAATTGAAATAAATCTCAAGGGCTTGGTACGAGAGACTTAGCTCATTTCTTATCCAAAATAATTTATCTAAAGGTAAGGTCGATACTACATTGTTTATTAAGAATTTTAAAAATAATTTTCTTATTGTTCAAATTTACGTTGATGATATTATTTTTTGTTCTACAAATGAATCTCTATATGAATCATTTGCTAAGAATATGAGCCTAGAATTTGAAATGAGCCTAATGGGGGAACTAACCTTCTTTTTAGGCTTGTAAATTAAATAAGTTAATGAATATATTTTTATTAGTCAAACAAAATATGTATTAGACTTGCTAAAATGATTTAATATGGATAGTTCAAAAGCTATCAATACTCTCATGAGTACCTCCACTAAGTTAGACATTGATAAAAGTGGAGAAAGTTTTAATCAAAAAGCTTATAGGGGTATGATAGATAGTTTATTATATCTCACTACAACTAGATCAGACATCTTGTTTAGCGTAGGACATTGTACTCGGTTTCAATCTAACCCCAAGCAATCTCATTTAAAAGCTGTCAAAATGATTTTTAGATACCTAAAAGGAACTCCTAAACTAAGATTATGGTATCCAAAATCTAAAATTTTTGAATTGCTTGGTTATGCCGATGCTAATTTTGCTGGTTTCCAAATAGATAGAAAAAACACATCCGAAACATGTCAATTCTTATGACACGCACTTGTCTCTTGGTCTTCTAAGAAATAAAACTCGGTTGCATTATCCACAACCGAAGCTGAGTATATTGCAGTAGGTGCATGTTGTGCTCAAGTATATGGATGAAAAATACTTTAGAAGATTGTGGAATTCACCTGAAGAATATACCTATAAAGTGTGATAACACAAGTATAATATATTTAACGAAAAATCCTATTTAGCACTCTAGAACTAAATATATTGACATTAGGCATCATTTCATATGAGATCATTTTAATAATCATGATGTAATCTTAGAATTTATTGATACAAAACATCAATTGGTTGATATTTTTATAAAACCTTTGATTGAGGAATAATTTGATTTTATAAGAAGAGAATTAGGTATGCTAAATTTCTCGGATACATTCGTTCCTCTTTAAATTTTCCTCCGGATTTCCTTATCGAATTCTATCTTACAAGATCATGAACTTATGGCATGCGTAATGAGTCATATGAACTTTATCATACAAATTTTATACGATGTTTGTGTATGAATTTTATATGGTGCATGAACTTATGGTGCGAATTTTATATGATGTATGAACTTATAGTGCAAAT